TGAGGGCCCGGACTAGGCAAAGAAAATTGAGTTCCTCTTGGTCCGGCATCTGAAATGGAGAAGGGGCAAAAGGCCTGCAAAATAATGGAGCATGCCACATATGTAGGCTCTTTAGGGACATAACCCGGTCTAGGGTGTAGAAAAGCTTTGGCCATGTAGAGAGCAAACTCTAAGCAAGAAGAAGCAACAGAAAAGGCCTCTCCTAAATCTCCTACTCTTTTGAGAGTTGAGTTGCAAGTAAGAAAGCCATCTTCAGTCCGATATTTCTCAGAAGCAGACTCAATATGCTCAAAGTAGACAAACTCTCCAATAAAATAGCCAAGTCCGAGGCTGGAACTCTAGCATGACATGCAGGCCCTTAGCTGTACAGTACTAGGTAGGAAACGGGACACTAAGCCGTCTCCCTAATGAATCACTACTGAAATTTGCATGGTAATCAGAAATGGCTGCCGCAAAAACCTTTAATGTGTAAGGGGTTAACCCAGCAATCCTAAAGGAACTACAGCACTGAACCAACAGGGCAGTTGTCTGGGTCCATTTGGCACCATAAAGTAAATAGTCTCTACTTAAGGCATACAGTTTCCTTGTGGAGTTTAGGATGGTCTCAACAACCTCAGTTGAGAGACTAGTGTTGAAAAGTTGATCCCCCTCAGGGCTAAACCCACAGTTCTACCAGTAAGACTCGGGAGATAAAATGATGTAACAAAGCATCCATTTATTGACAGCCCAGCAGGCAATAATTTGCAAAGTTCTTTGGCGTAGGCCCCGTCCGTAGATCGTAATCCGAGGGTAGCGGATCAGCATTTCCTGCCTGAAGACGAAGGCAGGGGTGCACCCGACCCCCCAGGGAAGTATAGACGGGACCATCCTGGTGGTGGTGGGGAGGGTGGAGGTTGTGGTCGCGTCGGCATCTGCGGCATCTGAAGACGTGTAAGTAACGATCTTTTATACGACAAGAATAGAATGTGATTGGATAACCTGTGAAGGTAACACGTGACACGGTAATAAAGTCTTCCTGGCAGAACTTATGCTAAAGCTTTCATTTTCAATTTCTCTGGTTGGGGTGATAAATTGTGCCACCTGCTTGTGACAGTATATCTCTCCAAATCGGAGTCTCCTATGACAAGCCTTCCAGGAGAGACATCAGGGGCCTCATTTATAAACGTTGCGTGCGCACAAAAGAAGGTGTACGCCACTCTCTACGCAATAGTTGGTATTTATAAAAAGCAAACTTGACGGGAAAATATGCGTACGCACAAAAACGGGTGAAATGAGAAATGGCGACACTGTCGGCAGATGGAAAAAACACGTGAAAGTA